CACGAACGCAGAGACGAAGTCGGCGATCGGGAGAATCACTGGGGGTGAAAGAGTGATGCATCAGCAGTCCTACCCGCGTTATCGCTTGATTCGATGGATATTCCATGCAAGCATTCAAGGTTGCTACAAGGTGGCCCACCACCGCCATGAAAGTCTGGTACCTCCTCATCGATCACGAAAACAGGCCTCCCTTCAAAGTTGGAGTATCTGCCAATACCAATATCGCTATGTGGCCTGAAGAAGACAGTCAAGGATAAGGCGCCATCCACCCTTGCCAAGATTGCTGCAGCGGAACTCGAAGTGTGGAAATGCACGGATTCGACAACTAATTTCCTTGATGTAGGTCCTGAAGAGCGCAAGGAGCGACTCAGAATGGCATTTCCGATACGAGGGTCAAAAACGTCAGCGTGAGGCAGGAGCAAGTCTGACCATTTCAGGTGGAGAGGCATTGCTTGTGCATTTGCCCGGTGCATCGTGACTTTTCTCAAGAAAGCAGTGATCCACGAGGCTACGGGACTGGGAAGCTGTCACAGGCGGTAGACGATGGCGAGGATTCGATACATTCGTATCTCTATCTTTCAATTTTCCGCTCGAGGGGCGGGATATTGCACTTGCTCACCCGACTCCCCTTCGTCCGCCGCGCAAATGCCAACATTCAGGACTGAACAAGAGCGACGTCCGGTCGTGAATATGAACACAGGGGTCCTCCCATTTGTCTTTTCCACCCCGTCTTCAACTCTTTTCATGAGGCCTTTGTCTGCAGACGCAAAGACATACTCTTTAGTCAGAAGGCGTCTGCTTGAGAAGGAGAAGGGACGAGTTGCTGCGATCGACGAGTATTTGTTCCCCTTCTCGGCGACACATTTATGTCCGTCGACTAGGCAGCCTCTATGATTTCGTCTGTCGACGTACCCGGGGTCAAGCCTGATGGAGTTTTATTCGAATAGCACATGTGGCAATGCGGGGAGTAAAAAATGGAATTGGAACAGGCAGCATAGGCCCTTACGATGTCCAAGTGTTGTGAGGGTAGAGAATGCTAAGCGCGCGAGTGTGATCCATGATGTGGAATTATGCATTTTCCCACGGTGCTTTCCCCCTTGTGTGAACCCTGTCCGCCTGTCTTGTTATCCCGCGACCTCATTGATGATGGCTCTCCCTACTCTATACACCGTGCATACAAAAGGGAACTCTGGAAACAAAAGCCTCAAGCTCGGCCAACCACCTGACCTCCTACGTGTTTTTTATATTTCTGCTGAGGTCCGACACACAAAGCAGGCGGATACTGTTATCTCCCAAAGCTCCCTTGGGTCATTTTGGAGGAGGACATCGACTAGTGAGCTCACATCTTATTTGTTCAGCGATCTATGCTTGAGCGACACGACAAAGCGAGGAAATCCGCCGAAGAAATATCGCAGAGAATGAAGCACTCTTGGCGTCCCTGGACTTGAAAGATGCTTCTTATTCCTTTGGGATGTTGCCCGTTAAGCTTGAAAAATCAAAACTTCAAGGAAAACCGAACGGGCCCGTCCAGTCCGGCCTCGGAAGGCGGAGAAAGCGAAAAAGGAGAACATGTCTGTTCCTTGAAGTCAGTCCTCCAGACTTGCCCATCCGCACGCCAGCCCGGATGACACTCGCACACAAAGGCTGGTTAATACGTCGTACGCTCGCCACTCACTCGAGTGATCGCGTCAGGCGCGTATCTGGCGTGCCATTGCTTCTCTCTTTGTTGTGGCCCAAGCTGGAAACAAAGAGGAAGAGAGGCTTGCGGTGTTAGAGCTCGGCCGCGTAGTGAAACATCCGCGCCATGGCAATCCGTCTCTGGACGATCTTGTCAGTGACGAGGACGACACAAAGGAATCAATCTCGTCATTAAGGGATACACTCGAAGCTGCTTGCAAGGACGTACATTCTGTCGAAGCACGAATAAAGAATCTCGAAATATTCTCAGCTACGGGGCAGCGATCCTGATATCAATGATCTTAGGAAAAGACTCACTCGCATGGTCGTGCGATCGCGAGCCAAGGATACGAGGGAGAGGGTTTATTCCATGGCTTACCACCTGGAGAAAACGAAAGATCTCAATGTCTTGCATCAAATTCGGCCCGACCGATGCTCTTGGTGTAAAGGCGCGTGCGGATGGGAATCACTCAGCTTATTCAGTTACACAGGTTTTTAGCCATCGTATGATTCCACGCTGCGTGTGACCTCCTTTACATCTGGGCAATCTACTGAGCTCTTTTCTCTTGCCTCGACTTCGACACTGGTCACATCCTTTGATATCGCGCCATGTGGGAATGAAATATGGATCTCCGACAGTGATGGTGGACTAAGCTTGTTTGGACCTCCGGGAAGGCAGCCGATTACGGGGACAAGTGAATGCTAAATTGAAGATTGGTTGTGTCAGCATCAATCCTGCTGCTGGAAGGAGAAGGAGTCATCCTTTGTGCACCGCGAGCAACGATCTTTCCCTGAAGTAAGCGTCAGCAATGCTGCTGTGCTTTGGACTTAACTTACGGCAGAATATGGGACGTTTGAAAGCTTATGTTAATTGAAACTGGAGCACTTGTTGGGGGTGATGATGACGGCTCCAGCTCGCTTAAAGTGAAACCGCCTCCCGTCCTGGAAGCAGATCACGAAGCCGTCACAGATTTCCTTTCATCAAAACCTGGGCTGTGTACTCGGGCAATTTGAGCATAAATACAGTGTCAGCTCAGCTTTTTGGGACCCTCGAGTAGTGACAACGTGCTATGATGATAATTTGAGAAGTTAGTCGCATTCATATCCGGAGCCACCACTTCTCACTGACCTGCGCGGAATAAGTTTGGAATCTAGATGCTTGGCTCTCATCGGGGGAGAAATTAAAGTTTCCCGGACCAATACAAAAAGCTCATAACTGTCAAACTGGACGTTGGTTGACGGTGCTGAAAGCTCAGTGGAGTCAGGATCCATCCCACTTCACTGTTAATTCACACAATATCCCCAGAATGACTGATGTCGAACGTTTTCCAGGTTGGATGGATGGACCATTCATTAGATATCATTGCGTACAACGGAGAGGAGATCGCTCAAAGTGATGACGTGGTTCTCCGAGTGTGGTACTCTAACCAATTGTAATTTCTTATTAAAGGTATGCTGGCCATCAGGCCTAAACTAAACGCAACACTGCATCCCGAACGGACCAATCGCGGCGGCTCATACTGTATGCGCGATGGAACTCTGGAAGCCTTGATGTCCTGGCTATATAGGTTGAGTTTTCCTACTCCGGCTCGAACTTGAAACGTTGGGATCATCGAGTCGATGTGCCGAATTAGGCTGATTGTTCAACAGCGCTCAGTGTCCTTCTCAGCCACAACCTCTCTCGATACGTTCCTATTCAGCACTGTACCGATCTCTGTCGGTATCAAGTCCAGATTCCAATGCTATCACCGTACTGTTGGGCCACATCACCTACTCACCATAATTGATGGTAGGATCAATCAGGGCCACATTGCGCGCCTTCGGACATCATTGTATTATTACCTTCTAACGCTGTCGACGTCCGAATCCTACTGAGAGTTAGGAGCGTCTTCTTGTGGGTGGTGCCTGGAAGTAGGCATTGCGCTGCTCATTGCAGGCCATATTCACATGGATCCCCACTTTGCCGTCTACCCTTATGTAAATAACCAGTCTCCAAATTTGACAAAGTCTCTTTTCTTGCCGAATAGCCGGATTCCGCCACTTGAATGATGTTCGACTCGATTCGGATATGCGTTATGTAGCGGTGCTTATGACATCATTTCATCCACTCTTGGCCCTTCCTTTTCAGTACTCTCATCTCCTACTATGGGCTCACGCACTACGTACCTTCTCGTTACGTAGCACTCATGATGCTCGTACGAAGGGGGAAGATTGATTGATAACATGTAACCGCGCGGCAGTATAAGTAGCCAAGGTAATAACGAAATACCAGAGAAGGGAATAGTGAACGAGACATGGTACGCGCTGCTATACGTGAAACACTGTAGCGTTGCGTGGAGATAAAGACATGGTAGAAATGGTATACTGTAACGTAATGGGCGTATATATACCGGCGCGTCGTGGCATGCATGTCGTCCAACACCACTACCTCATATTAACTCTTGCTCATTACCGGGTCGTACACCAATAGACAATCTTCATTTTTCCATTTTCATTTTTTCAAGCGTTGCAGTCGTGAGCTTCACACGTTTCATTATCTTTCCTTGGTTCTGTCCCGCGTTTAGGAGATGATGGTGCTGGCGCCAACCGTTGGGTGCCATCTTTCTTTACAACTGGCTTGGCGATCATTGTGTATCGATAACAGTCCTTTGTCGGTTTTACATGCATCAAGTCGAGAGCTGAGTGTGAATTCAGGTCCAGTGCGGCCACATACTGTGCTGGATAGGGAACGCCGCGAATCAGGCTTCGGAGTCCCGAGCTACTTTCCAGGTGCCAATTATAATTAACTAGTGCACGGGTGTGGGACGCCGTGCGCCCGCGGTGGTGTTCTAGTTGACGCTACAGCTCCACGAGCCTGGAACCAGTGACCGTGGGACATGTACGAACCGTCACTACTGCTGTGATGCTGTGGACCTTATAAGGCGCTATCTAGAACGTTGGCCCCTAACCAAAAGGGAAAGGAAATTGGTTGCGGAGAACGATTTTAGCCGGACTTGAACAAAAAGGCCTGTATACTTGTCCAGGGCCCGTTTTTTTAATCAACGTGCACAATGCCAGCGCCCGGCCACTTACTGGCATCCTACTAACATGGCTTATGTGAAAGCTCATGGCTGCGCTCTTGGACCCAGATGGAATGCTCCACTGACGCACATACGTCGCGAACGCGTGCCCTGGCACCGCTTACCGCCGGCTCTCTGTACGAAGCGACCGCCGTGACCAGTGCCTCGGTATGACGCCCCACAGTCCTTTATCTTCCTAATCACATTCATCCTGCTTCCAGTTCCAGTCAGCGCTATAATACTGGCTCTCGTGCAGTAGACTTACAGTAATGTCATCATCCGCACCAATTGCCTAGCTTGTCCGGGTCATGCCACCGCTAGAATTCGCCACTGATAGCACTGGATCGACCAAATAGTCAATACATATATCATAATCAGACGGACGCCTAGCTTTTGGGCCTTTAGGGGCTTGCACGTGCGTTGCGCGCTCAAGCTCTCTCTCCTCCATCCACTCGTCCGCTATCAACCATGTCGCTGCAGGAAAAGGCTGAAGATCTCAGGAAAACGATCGATAATCTCCTCGTGGTGGGAGTTGACATGGCGGTTCCAATTCTCAGGGTCGTCAATGCTACCGCTGATTGGTGTCCCCCTCTAAAGATGGCGACTGGCGGTGCACTCTCCATCTTCGACGAGGTTAAAGTTGGTGATTCCAGCTTGATTACGAATGAAAGCTCACGCTAGTGTGCCACGTAGAAGTTCAAGGAGAACAAGAAGGAATGGGCTGATTTTGGTGAATACGTAGCTAGCACTATGGCCAAGGTAGTTTCAGCCATAAAGTCTTATGATGTGTCAGCGGGGGAGGCAGGGTCATGGGTGGAGGGTGTCGCGGAGCTTGGGAGGTACGTTGTATTGGTTTTGGTAGTTTCCGATACCATACTTACGTCCAGTACCAGCGCGCTGCAAGGCATCCAGTCCAAAATCAAACAAAGACTCAGAGAACTAGAGGAACGGTCAGGTGCAAGAAATGCACTGTCTCACTATCGAGACCCTGGAAAATTCGAGGGCCTAAAGAAAGATTTTGACAAAGCGCTGGCATTGTTTCAGGTAGCTCTCCTCATGGCATTGTTCCCTAATCATTCTGATCTTCGGACGGTGCAGCTTAAGACGAATTTAACGATCGGTGTCAAATTATCGACTATAGAGGACAGCTTAGACCGTCTGGAGGGTGCGATTGGCGTCAAATTATCGACCATGGAGGACAGCTTAGACCGTCTGGAGAGTGACCCAATCCTCGATAATCTCCGATATCCTCAAATCGCCCACCATGATTCGACAGAGGCGTGCCTAGAAGGTACCAGGGTCGATCTCACGGAGCGTATTATGAACTGGTGTCGTAACACCGGGGATAACGAGAACCGGCTGATGCTGTTGACCTCTGTCGCTGGCGCTGGCAAGACTTCGATTGTGCACACGGTTGCAGATAAATGTAAAAGGGAGGCTATCTTGTTGCTGTGCTTTTTCTTCACAGTTGGCGAACAGCCACGGCCGGACCGTTTATTTAGCGGCATTGCTCAAGCTCTAGCAAAGCGTGACGCAGATTACCGCGCCTTCATTATCTCTGCCCTTCGAAAAGACCCCACCCTCTCAACAGCTCCATTCACGATGCAGTTCAAGGAATTGGTTTCTTCGCCCCTGCTTCATAAACCTCCTCCTTCCGATCGTCCTATGGTGGTCATCATTGACGCTTTGGATGAATGTGACAAAGAAGTGTTCGAATCCCTTGCCGAAATTCTTGGGGACGAAGTGCCCAGGCTACCGTCTTCTGTCAAATTCTTCATCACATCGAGACAATTCGATCTCGTGAATCGCTACCTCTCCCCCGATTACCCTTTCAATCGTCTTAGTATTGATCTCTCGGATGAGGCAAATGTGCAGGACTGTGCTAAGTACATACGCTTCCAGCTCCAAAAACTGAAGAAGGTACATCGGGATTTACGGCGTCATCTTCAGGACGAGGATAAAATGGTACAGGAGATCTCGGAACGAGCAAATGGCTTGTTTATCTGGATCAGCACCATCTTTCGCTACATGAAGATGGCGAACAAGGATCCTATGAAGACACTAGAAAGTCTACTCGACACTGGTGCCAAACGACCTGAGATCCCTGCCGAGAAGATGATGGAAGACTTGTATACCAGCATTTTGAAGAAGTGTGCTTGGGAGGATGAAGATTTTGCGCACGATTACCCAATCGTGATGGGAGCAATCTTCGTTGCCCAGCAGCCTCTGTCCATCACAGCCTGGGATGCAATTTTGTCACCTTTCCTCAGGTCTCCCGAGTCTGTCCGATATGCATTGGCTGAACTTGCTCCTCTGCTCTCAGGAGTTGAGGATTCCCACATTCCGGTTCGCGTCTTACACCAATCTTTCCGCGATTTTATTGTTGATCGGATCGATCCCCAAACAATCAGCTCTCGTTGCACTCTCGTAGCTCTGGGGGTGGAGAATGCCAGGGTTGCCCTGCGATGTACCGAGATTTTGAACAAGGATCTCCACTCTGTAAAGGGCCTAGGACAGATTGAAAACTTGTCCAAAGAAGATGAAATGCCGCGCATTTCTCCAAAGGAGGTATCTGAGCACTTCCATTATGCATGTCGCTACATCATCCACCACCTCGGTGGAGTCCAGGAACGTTCTGAGGAGCTTGCTGGGCCAGTTAGTATGTTTCTGAGTGAGGTGGTGACTCGGTGGGTGGAAGTCTGTGTGAGAATGGAAAACTACGTCAGTATCTCATTACTCCCTGAATGGGCTAAGGTATGGGTTATCATTTGTGTTAAAGAAAGTACCTCATGGTCTTCCAGTTGGCTGTTGACCACAGGGCTGTTAGCACACTCGCTAATGTGCTTTCCAAGCTTCCATGGAATTTGAAATTTTTTTCAAGATTCCAGGAGGCATATGAGGCAGCAAATGATTCTGTTGTACTTTGCCGTTACCTTTTTTCTGTGGACACAAGATACTACACCCCGCATTTGGCTAAGTCACTCAACAGTCTGTATGTCGCTCTTTACAGACTCGGACAGCACTCGGAGGCACTCCCATTCATCGAAGAAAGTGTCAAACTCCATCGCCAGCTAGTTGCCGTTAACCCAGGATCATACATCCCAGATTTGGCTAAGTCACTCGACAATCGATGTACCGCTCTTTCCAAACTCGGACAGCACTCGGAGGCACTCCCATTCATCGAAGAAAGTGTCAAACTCTATCGCCATCTAGTTGATGTTAACCCAGGATCATACACCCCGGATTTGGCCATGTCACTCAACAATCTATATATTGCTCTTTCAGATCTCGGACAGCACTCGGAGGCACTCCCATTTGTGGAAGAAAGCATCAAACTCTATCGCCAGCTAGTTGCTGTTCACCCAGGATCATACACCCCGCATTTGTCCATGTCACTCAACAATCTATGTACTGCTCTTTCCAAACTCGGACAGCACTCGGAGGCACTCCCATTCATTGAAGAAAGTGTCATACTCCACCGCCAGCTAGTTGTTGTTAACCCAGGATATCACACACCGGATTTGGCCAGCTCACTCAACAATCTATATATTGCTCTTTCGGATCTCGGACAGCACCCGGAGGCGCTCCCATTCATTGAAGAAAGCGTCAAACTCAGGCGCCAGCTAGTTGCTGTTAACCCAAGATCATACACCCCAGATTTGGCCACCTCACTCCACAATCTATGTAATGCTCTTTCCAACCTCGGACGGCACAAGGAGGCACTCCCACTCATCGAGGAAAGTGTCAAACTCTACCGCCAGCTAGTTGCTGTTAACCCAAGATCATACACCCTGGATTTGGCCATGTCACTCAACAATCTACATTATGCTCTTTCCAAACTCGGACAGCACTCGGAGGCACTCCCATTCATCGAAGAATGTGTCAAACTCTATCGCCATCTAGTTGATGTTAACCCAGGATCATACACCCCAGATTTGGCCATGTCACTCCACAATCTATCTGCCGCTCTTTCTAATCTTGGACAGCACTCGGAAATGCTCCCATTCATCAAAGAATGTGTCAAAATCCGGCACCAGCTAGTTGCTGTTAACCCAGGAGCATACACCCCAAAATTGGCTAACTCACTCAACACTCTATGTAATGCTCTTTCCTATCTCGGACAACACTCGGAGGCGCTCCCATTCATCGAAGAATGTGTCAAACTCTATTGCCAGCTAGTTGCCATTAACCCAGGATCATACACCCCAGATTTGGCCATGTCACTCAATGATCTATGTAATACTCTTAACAATCTTGAACGTCATTCCAAGGCACAAATGGTCCACATTTGAGCATGTTTTCCTCATTGCATTACTGCTAGCACATGATGGGCAAGCTCAAATTGGATATTTGACTGGAGAACACCAATAAATCCAACCTCAATTTCTTTGATTGCAAACTATTGATAAAATATTTACAGAGTTCACTGACTGCTACACATAATGATTCACAGACACATCATGATCAGATAACTATCAGGACTACTCATTTCTTCCTCTAACACATTTTCCTCCCATTGCTCATTGCTGATGTACTTGTCCATGTTTCTACATGCCACTGTCATATCCATACTGTCAGGACACAGTGAGGATGTCAGAACCGTGCGAATCTTCGCCGAGGGTAGCTGTAGGCGACCGAGTGTTGCCCGCTAGTGGTAAAGGCGTCCTACACTCGACCGAGCTTTAGCGAGGGATAAACCCCACTGATCTCGAGGCTGAGGCTACTTAGGTGAGTGAGCCGGGATTTCGGCTTCAACGACTCTAGGGGAGCGTTGCGCCTCGTTCTCGACGCGGTCCCGATACTTCAGAAGGTTGGAGGTCTCACAGGGACAGAGGTAAGCTTTAGGGGGTAATTCTAGTTGATTTCGAACTACAGTACAAGCATTAGTTACAAGCCGTATATAAGCGCTAGGGAACTGAATAGGGAATAAGTCACCAGATCTCGCGGAGATTGCGGGCAGAGAAAAGAAGCAGGAAAACAAACAAAGAGCACGTGTTCAAGACAGCAAAGGTCAAGCGTGACCTTCGCCACAAGATAACAAGGTGTGGCGAAACATGGAACAACGGGTCACGGCGCTCTGCGCTGCTAGGTCATTCAATGACAAAGAGGAAAGGTGTTGTGGAGAGGTGGTGGGAAGTGGTTAGCCGGCGATGGGCGGCGAGCGGAGTGTGTGGGGAGTGTTCGGGCGTGGGAGAAGGTGTCAGGGACCGACCCGGGGTCGAGAGCGCCCGGGTGTATCGCCCGAGGCTGAGGGTCCGGTAGGTATGACGCGGGCACGCGTAACAACGGGCCCGAAGCAGACGAGGGTCCCTGGCCACTGAGACTAAAGTGGGAAATGTGTTATTGTTATTATCAGGGGAAGTGTAAGCTACTTGCCTAAAGTGGGAAATGTGAGAAGAAGGTTGCTTCTCAGTTCCCACTTAGGCTGTGTTTATATACATGTGGTTGAAGGCCACGTGGGAAGCGCCATGTCATCCAAGCACACAGCCACCTCCATCCGGGTACCTCCGTAAGAGGTCCTAGGAGCATCCAGTATGCAGGGGGTCATCTGGTGTGTCCGGGTTCGGGTGCGTTACACTGCAGCCGGGTCAATGGTACATTGATACAAAGGAAGTCATCCGTGTGATAAGAAAGGAATAAAGAGGAGAGAGAATAGAAAAGAAGGGGAAGAAGAAAGGGAAGGGAAAAGAGGGGGAGGTCGGGAGGAGCGGATGGTGGGGCACCAGGTTAGGTGGGGCCGGGTCAGGCGGGTGTGCCCTGACAGAAGGTCAGGGAGGAGGTCGTCTAGCCCCGGGGAATGCCGGGTCGTGACAGAGGAGGGAGCAGCATGCCTGGACCTTTCCTGGAAGGGAGGCCAGAGATAGAGGACAGGTGGAGGGACCATGGCCTCAGTGACTCAGAGGGGAGTGCTGTGCCTATGTTCGGTAATGCTTTGTGTCTTGGTCCTTAACTTCAGAATGAGGGGGGGTGCGAACTCTGGGGGAATAGTCATTATTGTCGATTTTGCACTGAGGTGCCATCAACTACAGTACATGACTTGTATACATAATACAAGACAAATTGGAACAAAGGGAAACCCCAAGAGGGACTTACCCACTTGCTGGGTTGGTGAGCTCATGAGAGAATCGCCTTATCAAGCATTGTGGAGTGGGTAGGTGAAGGGTGGAATTAGCAATGGCTATTGGAAAGTGGGAAAACCTTTGTGGGGTTGGCAGAGGTCCTAGGAGGTCTGTAGTAATATTGGGTAGGTAGAAATATTAATAAACATTTAAGGTGAGGATAAGAGGTACTGGAGAAGGTACCAGTGTCAGGGTCATGCATGCTCGCACTAAAGGATGCCCCCAAAACCAAGTTGATAGCAAAGCTGGGGGACATGCCCATGCCAGCAAAGGATATATATACATAGTAGAGATGGTACATAACTAGTCAACTAACTAGAAGTGGATCAAAGATGATAGAAGATCACATGGCATCATAACTGATACCATGTGAATGGATCAAATAGAAGATCAGAAGTGGAAAAGAAGAAGAACCTGATGGGGATATGGGCCATGTGGCGCTGTGCTACTTATGCTAGCGACCTGAAGATGTGCCCTGACAACCAGAGGTGGAGGTGGACCAGAGGTATACCAGAGGGTATGGCAGAGGTGCAGGGGGAGGACGGACTGGAGGTGGACTGGAACAGTGGTGGAGTAGAATGGAGGTTAGGTGGAGTTGGTATGGATATGACACATACCAACTCCACCTAACCTCTGACCTTGTCATATCCATCCCCGGCCATCGACTTCCGGTCCCTCCGATTCCTCCGTTCCAACTCCGCTCCTCCCTCACTAACCTTGGAGCCCCCATTATTCCGCAATCCTCTTGGTACCCCTCGATGGTCACCACCCCCCCATTCCAATTTATTACCTACGCCTCCCTAAGTACGGAGCCCCGAAGACTTCCGGACAGCTCCGACGTCCGCTAGCGCACCCCCACCTCCGCTGAGCAATACACTCGCCTGCCCTGCAGAGTCCACCTTCGGGCTTATCCCTCCTTTCCGTTTCTGGGTTATCGCCTGCCTTTCCGCTAACCCTGTGAACCGACTCGTCGGTAATATTCAGTCGGCTAATGGTTAAACCCCGTTAGCTCCGCTCCGTTCGGCTCCGCCAATTGCGGAACCGTCTCCGCTGTAACCATATATATATCCCACTTGTACATAGGTTACGCCCCAGTAGAAAAATCAACTAGAGTTCCCCCCTAGGTTCTAATTGCCAGTCAGTAAGTTAGGGCACGGACGTGTCACTAGGCACAGCGCTCCTGGCAGAAGTCGCTGAGGCCGAAGCCCTCCGTTACGGAGACATTCTTTCGTCTCAAGTCTGGTCTTTGACAGACCTACTCTGCCACCATTCCAGTTCACCTCCAGTTTGTCCTCTCCCTCACCTCCACCATATCCTCCAGAATACCTCTGGTCCACCTCCACCTCCAATCTCTGGTACCTTCTCTGGTACCTCTTATCCTCATCTTAGACATTTAACAATATTTCTACCTACCCAATATTACTACAGACCTCCTAGGACCTCTGCCAACCTTGCAAAGGTTTTCCCACTTTCCAATAGCTGTCACTAATTCCACCCTTCACCTACCCACTTGTCAGAGTTGGAAAGATGGACTGAAGACAGATTGGGTTTCTGTCTGAGTTGAGGTCAGAGGTGATGCAGAGGTCTGTTGGAGCACATGCGTGGATATGTGGGCAGAAATATGCGGCACATCCAGAAGCGCTGTTCAGAGTTAGCAGAATGGGATCGTGGCCTCAGCAACTCAAGTGGAGCGCTGTGCCCTGAGCTTGACGTTTGGGGGAGATCCCTTATTTACGGACTCACATTTACAGCGGACTTCAAACAAGACTTGTGGGCGGAGTGGACCTGTAGGAGGAGCGCAGACTCCACGAGCACGGACTCAGAAGGGGGGAAGCCCCTTTGCAGAAGGAGGGACTCAGACCAGACAGGGGGGGGGGGTACTCTAGTTGATTTCAGACTAAGGTCCCCAAAAGTATTTACAAGGTATATAAATAGGCAAGAGGGAATATAGAAAGGCCGGTCAGTCCAGTGCGGTCTGGCATGGAAATAAGCAGGGATTGTCAAACTAAATAAAGGACAAGAGCCCAGGAACTGGAAGTGGCGAGGGTTATTGATGAATAACTGAATGAGATCAATAACCTAGTGCCAATAAAGAGGGGATCAAATGCCAATATTGGCAGGGAAGCAAACAAATAAATGGCACTCAGCAAGGAATGAATGATAAGCTGCCAAGTGACAAATGGCCAGAGGAAAAGTGGAGGTCAGTATGCGGCACTGATACAAGTCTGCAAAGGGATGCAGAAATCAGCACAGTGCTGATAATTGACCTGACCATAGGTGTCAATGTTACGGGGATGGGGAGAAATCCCCTTTCCTTGATCTGTTCTTATAGAGGGATGACGAACGTTGAATCTAGTCTGTACCATAATGGGATGTGTAATCGATGAGTGATCCCAGTCTTGCATGGGAGTGGATGATTGAATTCCCATCGATTGTGGTTGGTGATGTAGTGAGCTATTAAGGAATTGATGGTAGGTAGTCAGAGACGTCAGGATGGACGGGTCAGCCATGGGTACTTGGCGCTCCTCGATGGACCGTACCGTGTGTGTGGTCGTGACTTGTGAGGTGGGTAAGAACTTTGTATAACTGCCATTGGTTACTTGGTGTTCGCAACACGAATGTACCGGTAGTGGGTTGATATCATGGGCGTTATAGGCGGGCACAGCTGGTACTGCACAAATGAACCGAATATCGCGATTTCCCCATCCCTGCACATCCCCACTTCACGAAACACATCACATATACCATTCCTACTCTTCCATGATTTCTTTCCATTTTTCCAGACACATTCCCAGTCCCCACAGACCAAATTCCCACGCCCACCCAGCAGCGCGGCCACACTCAGACTGGATTTCACTTATCTCAGCAACCACTGCACCGATTTGGACGATATTGGTACCGTTGGAAACGCGTCATTTAGGAGTATTAGGATCCGTGATTAGTGGGAGTTCATTGGCGATGGATAGAGTTGGGTATTTTTTTGGCTGGAAATCATTTATTGCTTTATTGTTTTCTTGATTATTGTTTTCCCTTCTTTTTTCCGATATTGTTTGTTGCCCATATGATCCACCTAAGCACATGGGGCACATCGGATATTTTTTTATCATTTTTATTTGATCATTTCTCATATATACCTGTACATGAGGATGTATCTACTTTTCCCCTTGGATTAGAAACCACCGAGTTTGCCCCTCCCAAGCTAGTAGGGAGTAGTACGACATAGAAGACGACCAAGAAGCCTCTAGATTAGTCCTTGCCTTAGTGTCACCCAGAGAGGTGGGGTAAGAGATTGATTAGAGTACACCACGCACCGTAACACACTGGACCATCACCATTACCCCTTTTTTCCCTGACCTGTTGGATACCAATCCGGTCCCCATCCTTTCCTGTTTTCCTAGTGGGTTAGATCCCTAGCCCGCTTACAGCGTGCCATGAGGATTGACTAGCAGGGCCTTTGGT